ATCATTGAACATTCTCTATTAAATTTCTGTCCTTTTCAAATCTCGGTGACCACACAACGTTTCCAAACTCTCCAAACGCACGACAGCAACAAACAACTGCTCGGGCGCACGACAGCAACAAACAACTGCTTCATCGTTTCTGCATCTAGGAACTCGTATGAGCGTCTGTTTAGTCCAAGAAGTTGTTGGATGTGTTAGCTTGCGTTTCAACATGCTTAGAGAATTTCAGCTCCTTGTCGACATAAACTCCGAGATCTTTTTCCACACTAGACTTTTCAATCATTACTCTCTCGTTGCAACCATGTCTTCTCATACTGTAATCTTGCTGTTCATTGTTCTTTCCGAGGTGAAGCACTTTACACTTGTCAGCATTAAACCGCAGCTGCCCCGTATCAGCCAAGTTAACTAAACTGTCAAGATCATCTTGTAATTGCGCTTTATTTGATGCATCCTTCACTGTATTATAAACTTTTGTGTCGTCGGCATACATGGAGCACACGCTGGGCACTGTTTCTGGCAAATCGTTTATAATAGCAACGAACAAAATTTTTCCCAAGAACGCTTCCTTGTGGCACGCCACTGCGCACTGATGCCCAGTCTGACACGGTTCCGTTAATACTGACACGCTGTCGTCTACCTAGCTACTAGAAAATCTCTGATCCGTTAGAGGACGTTTCCCTCAATTCCCAAAGACTTCATTTTACGCAACAGCCGCTCATGTGGAACACTATCAAATGCTTTGGCAAAATCGAGGTACAATGCATCCACTGGCTTCCTTTCGTTCAGCAGGCGAGTCCAATCGTTCAACGTAGATAATAAGTTCTACGGCAATAAAACCATGTTTACAATCTGATAGTGATATGAGATGGTGAGCAGTCAAGTGATCGATAATCCTATCCCTCACCACAGATTCCATTAGCTTACAAACAACACTTGTCAGACTGACAGGGCGATAGTTGCCGGGGCTGCTTTTGTCACCTTTTTTGAACAATGGTGTTACTTGAGCTTCTTTCCAGTCGGACGGCAAAGTTCCTTCGCTCAAGGTTTTTTGAAAGAATACTGTCAATGGGCCGGCCAGAACGGTTGCTAATTCTTTGAGCAATCTGGGATGGAAGCCGTCTGGTTCACATGACTTGTTGGGATTTAGAGCTACCAGGCGCTTGAGAACCTCTTCTTCGTGTATTTCAAAACATGTTAACTTCGAGCCGACTGGGCGCTCCTCAATATCTACACAATAGTATACAATATACTATTGGGCGCTCCTCAATAGTATACAATAACTAGTATAGGGCGCTCCTCAATAGTATACACGAATCCAACGTAAAGTTGATCTAAATGTAAAATGTATAAGAAGCCCGTGAACTGCAGTAGCCCATTCGTAGCTAAGACAGTGTACAAATGATCCACCGTCAGGCGAGCCTGCATGTGCTGGCTGCAAGGGCCTTTTTGGCCTGTCATACAGAGTCCTCACGGTGAGGCCAACCTTCAGCGCAGGCCATGGGTGCTCCAAGCGCTGCAGAGGTCGGGGGCGAGTTGACTGAATTCACGACCTTCTACCAAAAGCCCTCTGACTCTAAAATGATTTTCGCGTTGTCACGCATTGATAAATTGATTGAGGCTGCTATTGCTCACATTTTCATGCGCTAGGAACCAGCCATAACGAGCTTGAGGTATAATTAGATATCAATATCATCTCTCTTTGAGAAGAAAGCTTTATTTGTGTATTGAGCAAATCGCAAAATTATATTTCAATGTATTTTAAACAATGGAAGAATTATGAATGAGAGAAAATAAATAAGTTGCAGCCACACACAGACATCCACGTGTCCGTAGCATCCTCCGCGGTCAGTCTGGGTCTATACTTGGGCTGTTACTGGCGAAGCGTTATAATTTGCTGGTGCGTATATGAGGCTCGACGAGCCTCTGAGCATCAATCAATTCGTGTCTTATTTTGCTTACTGTCTTATAATTGAATGATGTATTTCCATTCGCAAGTATCTGTTCAATGATTAGGGCTAATTTTCGATTATTCAGCTCCGGATTTAATTTGAATATTAAGTTTAAATTATACCCATTCTTTTTTATAGTGTCATATTTAGACGTCCGAAAATCATTTGATTGAAATCCATGGAAATTGGATTCATTAAAATGGTGTCCTCGTAAAAAACATAGTTAACAATCACTTTCGCTCTACTTAATTGTTCGTGTGTGTGATGAAGTGATGACTTAGCAACAATGCTCATTCGGCGCACCTTGCCGATATGCTTATTAAACGCAGCGGTAGAACTTTTTTTAGAGAGAAATTAGATAGATACCGAAACATTATCGGTCGATGCGAATTTATTTTTCAACGTTCAGGTAGGTAGCGATCATATGGGAAAGAAGTTTTAAAAATTTATTTTATTTTGACTCCCAATTCTGTGTGGGAGTTGTCCAAAACTAAATCCGACCTCAATTTTGTGTTAAATTTCAATTGAATTCTCATGTCGTAATTTGGAAATAAAATATTGATATTGTGAATTGCAATAAAAATTTAACGATAATAATATTAAAACTGATTATAGCAATAATATTATTAATAATAATAATAATTTTAATAATTTTGTACGAACACCTGTAACATGTTTCGCTTGAATTTGGATTGCTATTCGGTCATGTATAACGCATTCTATTTATTACCAGCTGCATTAGAGCTCGAAAAGTTTCTACCTGTAGTGGTTGCTGTACTAAATCTTCAGCAACCGATGCTCGTTTCATTTTTTGGTTCCAATTATCTCTAAAGGCAGAGATTACAGGCTTGCGTACCAGGATGCGTAAGTGCTACTGAATTTAGGCTGCGACACGGCATGTGCAGCAGTCTGTGAGCATCCTGAACACGGTATTCCAGCTAAATGAATGGAAAATTAAGAGATATAATATTAAGTATAATATTAATTAAGGCAGAGACTAAGCCGCATATCTTTTAAATTATTCTAATCAATGGTTGTAATTATTTATTGAGGGATGTCGTATAGCTGTTTAAGTAGTGTGGGTATTCGTTCAATTATAATTATAACTAAAGCCTGTATATTATTTCATCTTCGAGCTTAAATAATTTAGCAATGAAATACACATTTTATTAGCAAATGAACCTGTTTGATGAAAAACATTCGAAAGGACCAAGTAGGTGGCATAACTCCTGCCGCAAAAAAACGCAACAAGCGCGCTGTTCGGCAGACTGTTGGGTAATACTTCTTCTATGTTGCTCAGAAAGTCGGCTTCTTCAATTTTCTAGCTTATGTTTTGGATTTTCACGACAAAAAATTAAACCAACTTTGCCTCTTTGTGTATTGTAGCATGTTGTTGAGTAGACAATGAATGGAATTCGCAATAAAGACGTACACGTGTCATTGAGGTGTATATATTTTTGGAGGCAAGTCACCCTTTACTCGGAGGCAAGTCCCAATAATAAGACAAGGTCACCCTTGCCTGCTGCCCGGTTTTTGTTTCCAGCCTGGAGACCTGTTTAAGATCTGATCTTTCGTCGTCCTCTCACACCGTGCAGAATTTTGTTAAGAGAAAGGAACGCTTCTGTGTTATGACTCCATATTAAATAAAACCTGTAAAGGAAAATTTAAATTAACGAATTTTTACTATGAATCTTAGAAATGAGATGAAAAAGAAGGTAAATTTAAATGGTATAATTTTCGTAATGAAGTTTTTCATAGAATGAAAAAACGACCGGCAACAGTTTAAGAGACCAAGAATGTATGGTAAAATAACATATTTCTAGAAAAACTAAAGGTTTGCCATGGCTTGAGAACGCCTCCATCTTTTAAGCATGTAACCCCTGACCCTGAATTAACTAGTGGTAGGTAAATCAATTAGTTCAACCCTGACGCAGCATGCTTCTTCAGATCTGGACTGCTCAGCGCTTGGTCAGAAGCTGTTTTTTTTAGGGTTGAACGTCATGAGCTGCATTCGAGTACAATACGTATGAAAATTACACGTGTAAAATTACGCAATACAAAAATCTTCAGGTCACTGCCGATCGCTGAAAACGCTAACTCTATTTTAATTTTAATGACAAATTCTAATTTCATTTGAATGATTTATGCAATTTTCATCAATTAAATAATTCAACTTGTAACGAACTATTACAATTATTCTAACAATTCATTTGTACTCGAAATTGCAACGCCAATGAATTTCGCTGTAGATTCATATTTCCTGTTTGGCTCTGCAAAAAAAAGTCCGGAATCGAGCTTATGATCATCTAATAGAGCAGAAAGTTTTATTAGGTTTCCAGTTAATTACGCTCGTTACTTTTACGGAACTTTGGAGGTGTGTAACACAAAATGTAGCAAAATACACAGTTGGTCCCAAGCAAGCGAAGCCACGGACCAGCCGACCGAATTGAACCCCCACATCAGTGCTCAACCATCCGTCATCGTTGGTGGTAGTTGGCCTCTCTTCGGCATCTTTATTTCACCGAGCGTCAAGATGTACTTGTAGAACCTCCAGTGAAAACGGGTGTTCGCATTTTTTTTCAATTCTAAGTCCAACAGATAGAACATCGAATGACTTGTCTGTCAGGCAATTCTTTTCATAATATTTTTTAAACATATTAGACAACTTACTGTCGGAATTTAATGCTGTTCATTACTCACTACCTGTTAGTAATGAGACCCAGCGTAAAGAATGCAACTTATTCAAATGTAATCATTCGTTGTTGTGATAAAGTAGTATCTCCTTATAACCTAATTAGTTCCTCGCACATAGAAAAAATTACCAAGCATTTCTTTCTATAAAGGATTAATGTTACGTTTAGTTTACCTCATGAAAGTATAAAATTTTATGCTTGGAAAATAAATTTTGAACTACAATGATTCAAGCATTCATGTAACTAAGAGGCTCTTGGTAACTCTCGTATGAAATGCCCAGGCCCACTTATGAATTTTCGACGAAAATGATGTCAGTGTTATATTCATTTCTTCTCAATTCCCAGGTGCGAAGATCAACGCGCAGAAATGGAAGAAAACGCCTTGAGTGGCCTAGGTTACATTTTGACAAAGTGCTTTCCTAATGTTAAATGGATTCAGGAGAGGAAATTCTTCTTTTTCAAGACATTTGATTTTATTTTGAGTAAGGTATTTTTCAAGTTAGGTGAATTGATCGCTGATAATCCAAAATCATTTATCGTAATCCCAGTTTTGATCACTGTGATTTCCGTTACTGGGTTCCTAAGGATGAACTGGATTGACGACCCAGAGTTTCTGTTCTCTCCGTTGAATGGAAGAGCTCGCCAAGAGCGGGACTTCATTGAGGGATATTTTAAGCTGAACTACACTGATTCTTTCAACGAGGATCGCCGTACTCGCTATGATCCTTTTGTTCAACTGGGAATTACGAAGACAGACTCGTCCAATATAATCGACCAAGAAGTAATGAACAAAATATATTCTATAGATGGAATTGTTAGAAATTTTGACTTTCACGACGAAGAAGGCAAATCGTACACCTACAATGACATCTGTGCTAAAGCCGGAGGAAAGTGCGTGAAGCCTCGCTTCCTGGAATTAACCGACCGCATACATGAAGTTAAAACTCGGAAACTAAACTTAACATTCCCAGTTATGATAAATCCTACAACATTCGACAATTATATTTTTCCGTTTTTCTTAGCCGGTGTTAAACTCTACCCTGAAAATTCCATCATGTCTGCCGAAGCCATCAAACTTTCTTACTGGGGAAATGCCGAGAGCCAAGAAATGAAACACTTGTGAGTGTGAAGATTCATTTTTATTGTCAAAAATGTTTATCATATTCAGGGATATTTTTGGCTTTTTAACTTCTTTCAGTTCTCGTCTAAACTTTTAAGTAAGTCTGTACGGAACTTCAACTTTTGATAGTCATGAATTTCGAGAAATGTGAATGTATGCCATTTGATCGGAAAATTTGTTATCGCGCTCACGAACGAAAATATGTTCATTCGCATCAAACCATACAATGCATACCGATTTTACTGTGCATAACTACGTTAGATGTGAGTGACAGATAGAAATGGATAGACTCAGCTTCGGCGGCCGTCATCTTAAATTAAATTACCCCTCCACTACGTTTAAAGCAAACCATAACAGCGTGTCTGTCTGTCTGCTACAAATCTTGTAATCGAAATTTAACACATTTCTACTTATCCTATCGATCTGAAATTTTGCACACTTGTGTAAAGTTGGAGACAATGCATGAATCAAATGTCAAAATAAATAATTTTTAAAATAAAATTTTTTTTTCAATATTAAAAGAATTGAAAAAATAATTTTTGTCAGCTACAAATCTTATAACTGATATTTGACACACTTATACCTGTCTAATTGATCAGAAATTTTGCACACTTGTGCGAAGTCAGAGGTAATGCATGAATAAATTAATAGAATAAATAATTTTGAAAAAAAATAATATATATTAAAAAAATTTATATATTAAAAAATTGAAAAATAATTTTTTTATTATTAAAAAATTAAATGAGAAATTCATTGTACATCTGTAAGATTGGAGACACTGGATTCTTTGGAAGTGTTGTCTTTAAAAAGTAATTTTTAAACGTATATTATTATTTACAACCCCACTAGACAGTCCTCTCATAATCAAATTATTGAAGTGCAATTAATAACGCAACTTCATTGACAAAACAACGCAAGCCTGATATAACCTTCTATTGGAGCTTGTTAAGTTATATGGAAACTGATGGGAGTTTCGGGTGGGAGCTTTCTTCGGGGATGGAAGCTAATTGTGATGGCAAGTGAATATATAAATGCGTCCAGCTTTTACTGCTTCAAATGCGTTCATATATTTTCATGAGTTATCCGCCCAATGATTAGGTTTTGTGCCCATTTGAATATTTTAATAAAAAGTTCTGCGGTTCAACTGAAAACGGATAATCACACAAAATAACTTCAAAACGATAGGTGCGGTGAGAGCTTGGTGATGAAGTATATGTTGTTCACTTAACTAATTGGGGTATTTTGTCGTATAATTTTACTAGTTTAATTGTCGTCAAAACAAAACGTACGAATTTGAGTCATATGAATAGAGTTGGAAGAAATTACTTGTCCACATTTACATTGACTATCACAATTTGTCAGCATTTCCATCCATAGCTCAGTTGTTTGTGAAGTCTTAAAATACAATCGTCGTGTCCGTATCTTGAATACAGCGACAAAATACGGCCAACTTTTTATGCCCCTGAGACGAAGAACTAATAAAATAATAAAACGTCAGAATTTGCGTCTCAAGAACATCTTTACATGTCAAACCTTGTACAAGAAACAACATTGTTCTGAAACTGTCTTTTCGGTCTTCCAGGAGTATTTTATGGGAAGAAAAGTTCCTTGCACACTTCTTGAAGGGCTTAGGAGAGCCGAGTTTGAACATCGCAATGTACCACTCAAGGACCGCCGAGCAAGAGATAAGGAACAACACCCTGTCGGTCTTTCCTTACTTTACTGTAACAGTGTTTGTAATAACTGTCTTTTGCCTGGCCTCTGTCACACTGGGCGACTGTGTCAGAAGCAAGACTTGGCTCGGCTTAGTGGCCATTATTAGTTCAGCATTGGCTAGTCTGACGGCGTTTGGGATCCTCATGCATTGCGGCGTTCCGATGATCGGCATGAACATGGCAGCGCCGTTTTTGATGTTAGGTAAGAGACTTGTCGATTGATTCTTTCATCAAATATTTTTAGCGAATCTTGAATGTTTTGTGAATTCAAAACTCAGATTTGAACTCTTAACTTTCGCCTGAACACTTTTCTCACGCTAGATGAGTGGCATCACACTGTTTAGTTTTTCGATCATAGACGAGGTGACCGCGCAAGCCCAAGTCTTTTGAGGGATAGCATCATACCATATCGAGTGTTTATTTCATTGTGTTATCAATTGATCATTTCCTTCATTGTGTTTATCGATTTTTTTATTGCCTATGTAAATCCTGGAAGTCTGTAAGTTGGTTATCATGAAATGTCTAAGTATTTGCACTTCGTTGAATTTCAAGAAGAACTACCATTTCACCTGTGAAACAGTGTTGGTGAACGAAACCAGCCAGTGAATTACGATACATTTTCATTTACTCACTTATTTACGATGGGAATTTGTGGCTCCACAATGCTCTAGTAGAATGATCTAAAAATGACTGAATGTATAAGTCAATACTTCAGTAACCGAAAGCTTTTAGTCTATTACTCTTACAAAAAATACTTCGTGGACAACATTCAAATCACTATATTCCAACCTGTAGGAATTCTCTTGAGAGAAGCACGAAATAACTTAATCATGTCTCGTGATATTTCCTGATGGTCCTTGGTACCACAACATTGTTCTGGTGGAAGTGTCGGCCTATCACTTCATTCAAGTAATTCTTAAAGTATTTTTTTTTTCAAGGTATTGGCATCGACGACGCCTTTGTGACGCTTTCGGCTTGGCACAGAACGCGTCCTCAGGATTCGGTGCGGGAGCGCATGGCTCAAACCTACGCAGAATCCGCCGTTTCCATCAGCATCACTTCCATCACCAACATGATTTCATTCTTCGTAGGCACCTTCACGTATTTCTCCTCCGTCAGAGTCTTCTGCCTCTATCTGGGTAAGGCTGAAGATTTTGATTTGGTGCTAACAAATTATTTGTGGGTTCAGAGTCGAGACCATCATGCCAGGAATTATTTTATTCGTAGGAAAAAATTATTCGGTTTGAACATCAATTAATGGCTTGACAGAAATAAATAAATACGTACACGGAAAAATTTACTTTGCAGAAACTTTTAAGCGCTATAAAGGCATAACACGCGATTCTAAAACAACTTTTCTGGTTATGTCTTCACTGTTTTATCAATGAATATTATCTCATCTGACTCTGATATAAATTTGGACGTCATGGAATTTATTTCTGGTGAACCTTGCTAGAATAGAAACTTTTGGGAATCATACCCTAATAAATTTAGCAGTTATTATGTCATAGCAAGGTTGCCCGAACTAAACTAATTATGCTGCAAAAAAGTAATTACTTAATTATGTTCAAAATTACAACCAGAATTGTTCTAAAAATCTGGATTTATTATCGTCGACATAAAATTTCGGTTAATAGTTATACATTTTTAATTTTATATTGTTGAAAAATAGCGCAAAAGATGCGGAAATCAAAAGAGATATTTAATTTTATAAAATGAAACTCAGGAAATGAAATTCTGCAGAGCCTTTTATTGTCGTCAATTTATTAACTGAGTTCTGCATTTGGTATTTGTATAATCATTCTATTTCTAGGAAAGTTTTAGCCAAAAGCCATAGATTCCATTACGAAGTTCGGTGTTTATAAAATAGTTCTATTATTGGAAAGTAATTAAAGTATTACGCTCTTTGCGGTCTGTTGTAATACACGCACATTGTAAGATCAGTAGATTGCATGGACCATAAATTTACGAGTAATTTAAGAACAAATGCACGCAGGCATTTCGGTGTTGATGACGTACGTGTGGCACATCACGCTCTTCGGCGCCTGCCTGGCGCTGTCCGGACGCGCTGAGAAGCAGCAGCTCCATAACATTACCTGCAAGCGAGTCAAGTCCAGCTCGGAGTCAGGTTTGTCTTGTTAATTTGTTGTGGAATAATAAAGGAGCATTTCACCCCAAATGTCATTTTTAGCTAAAAGTCACGCACCCCTTAATAAGAATAATTCAAGAATTTCGTTAGAACAACCGTATCAACGAACATTTCTTGTTTGATAGTGTTACAACCATTTTTTATGTCATAGTGTTACAAACATTTCATTTATTATAATATTAGTATTGCATTCCACGATAAGGAGCGCTCTGTAGAATGCCAGCCTTCGTATTAAGCGTTATTGTGGAAAAGATCTTTGTCATGCAGCACTGGTGTTCACTTACGCCCAAAATATTTCTATCGTGTTAATTAAAATTTCTTTTGGACTGCATCGTTTCTTCTACTCTTGGTCGTGAAATTGAATGAAGTCTATTTCGGTGCCAGAATGAGTATCTTGTTTGCAGGGTTGGCAATGATTAAATCAAAATGATTAAATCATGTGATTAAATCACTTGATTTTTTTATAAAAAAATCATGATTTTTTTTATTTTTTTCGATTTTTTTTTATTTTTTTGATTTTTTAATATAATTGAATATATTGAGTGGCAGTCTTTAATTTATATTGAGGTATTGTTATTCATGGTTTGGTATAAATGTACTATGAATGACAAATTGGTATATAAACTTGCCTTTATAGTGTGTATTAGGTTCCAAGAAATTGAAAGTTTTTGGTACAGAGGCATCAAGTGTGCAATACATTGTACGTGGCTAGCAGCTTAGGTAATTCTTATAAGGCAATAAGAAGTCTTTACCTATTTGACTATTGGTAATATATTGATTGCAATATACAATTTAAATGTGTTAGCTAGCTTATACAGGGTGGGGCAGAACTGATTGAACAGTTTTGAGGCAAAATAAAAGTGTAATGGAGGTACATAAAGAAAAAAGTTTATTTTCCTCAAGATTAGCATAACATACCATTTAAAATACTTATGTTATGGAAACAATATCAGGAAGATGGGGTTTGTTAGCTGCATCACACTGTTGGAGTTGTTCTCGGAAGTTTTCTCCAGCACGTTCACACATATGGCGAGGTATGGCCATATATATATAGCCTCTGCTGCAATAGGGGCTATATAGGGTGGTAGGGTGTGAGGGCAACTTTTGAACACCCTTTCTTTTAGATGTCCCCAAAGAAAGAAATCGCAAATGCTCAAATCGGGTGACCTCGCAGGCTACTGTAAATTGCCCCTCAGAGTCTGGGAACATGCATTTCAAAACATTGAGTGACATTCGGGCTGTGTGAGCTGTAGCTCCATCCGGCTGAAACCACACGTCTCCCAATGCTCCATTTTCAACAATGCATAGCAACATTGCAGCATAGCAATCGGAATTCACTGTTACGGTTACTCCCTCCTCTGAGAACGACTCCAACAGTGTGTTGCAGCTAACGGCCCTCCTCTTCCTGATATTGTTTTCAAAACATAAGTACGGTATTCTAAATGGTATGTTTATGTACCTCCATTACTCTTTTATTTTACCTCAAAACTGCTCAATTGGCTCTGCCCCACCCTGTATATTGAGAGGTTAAGATTGTATTGACCTTTTAGGCAATTAAAAAGATTTTCCACCCTAATATAAGTATTCTAATTAAAATATTTAATTTTAATCTTTAAATATGTGAATTTAAAACTAGAAACAAAAAAATTACAATTATATGACTATTTATAAAATAATTAAATGCAGTGAATGGATATAAAATATTTGAATTGTGCACATGTTTATTTCAAAGTGTTAGCTTTTCTCAGAGGGTAGAGTCTGGTAGATTTAAAGGACATAAAACTGGTAGATCTATTGATAGTGCTGTGCTGTGCACTGTGCTATCAGCTACCTATCTGTTATGTGACTCTTCAGTGTTTAGAAGATCTGCATTCCTGAAGTATTTTTGTATATTGAAAACAGTTGAATGGTCAATATTTAGCTCATTACCTTGTTCCATACAAACTTTACAAAGCTAATGAATAGACTCATCATTTATCAATAATCATTTACCCAAAAATCCCTAAGTGGTAAACACGACCTTGGCCTGTTGGCCATTATTGAAGGCAATAAGTGCCCTTTTTAGCCATCCATTATGATCCATATACTGTTATTGTTGATAGGCTAATTGCAACATAAAAAATTACACTTCAAAAAGACAAAAAAGCTGAAAAATAAAAAAAATCAAATAAAAGAAAAAAATCATGAAAAAATAAAAAAAATCATTGATTTTTTATTTTTTTGATTTTTTTAAAAAAATCAAAAAAACCCTGCTTGTTTGTCAGTTGTCAACCCTGCTTGTTTGTCAACCCTGCTTGTTTGTCTGTATTTTCGAGAAACTATGATGAAAGTTCAGCAAAAAATTCTACTTCAAAGCTTTAATATTGTTCATGGATAGTTCTTCACTTTGTTGCATTAAGTCACGGTGCCTAGCATGAGTTTGCGATTCCATGATGATTAGCAAAAATGCTGCGTCATGATGTCGGCACTATGCTAAAGAAGACGCATAATCTTTATCCGATTCGGAAAGTGACGCATATTATTGATAAAGTTAATCATGGTTTGAATAACTTCTTAAGTTAACTGTCTTAATGTACTTCAAAGATATTAAAAATTAAGATAAATTTCTAAATTCAGAGAAGTGAATGATCGTTTTGTCCAAATTGTGACACCTTTTCGCCGTCATGCACTGCATGACACACCGTTATATGCAGGGCCAAACTGGGTCAGGACGACCCACTCAAGGGCAAAAAGTGCATCGCTATTTGGACAAATTTTCATCCATTTCTCTGAACGTATCCTGCTTGTTTTCAGCTGGGGAGTCAGCATTTTATCGCCGATTCTGCGCCGGTGGAGTGGCCGCGTCCGACCCTAGCAATCCTGACGACAACCAACCACCAGCCGTCGTGATCCTTTTCAGGGACTACGTCGCTCACTGCCTAAACTTGCCAGTAATTAAAGGCAAGAACTTCTTATGTTTATGTTCATTGGATTATAAAAATTGTTTTTTGTCGATTGTTGTTGTTGGAATTGACCATCCTGTTAGTGGCAACTAGGTAATGGAGAAAGGGATGATAGGTCAAATTTTCAGGGCACTAAGGCCACAGATGGGTCCTCCACTAACATTGGCTCGCTGACCCGCCAGAACCATTTTATTGCATTATACAACACCCTGGACAAACCAGGTACTCATATATCAACCAGGTACTCATATCATAATAAATGGCCGAGTTAGCCATGAGCTCATCTTCCCAAAAGAACTTGTCCCGAGTGGGACTAAACTCGGGTTGTTGCTGTAATTGCCCATCCTGGTAGTGGCGACTAGGCAAGGGAGGGGGTGTTTTTCCGGGCACTTAATGCCACTGGCAGTTCCGCGACCATCACTGGCTCACTGACTCGCCAGAACCATTTTTGCATTACATAACACCCAGGACAAGCCAGGTACTCATTTATCAAACAGAGTTGGATGAATGGCTAAGTTGACCATGAGCTGAGCTTCCCGAAAGAGCTTGTCCTCAGTGGGACTTGAACCCGGGAGCTGGGTGCGAGAGACAGAGTCTCTCACCACTGCACCACCACAGCTTTATTATCGATTGACGCAGTGCTTGGTCGCCGTAAAATTATTTGAGTATTAGAAGAATATAAGAAGGCCTTATATTAGAATAAAAGGCGGCTCAGGCTCTTGATAGCGTTATTGGTCCTCCAGCGTACGTGATTCTCTAAACAAGCTGACGTAATTAGTTAATTCTTTATTCTTTCACACATAGAAGCAACACAGCACGACTCACTAGAAAGAGAAAAACATGTTATTTGGTAATAAAAGCTTCCAGGTGAAAAGCCCATACAAGCTATAAAATGCTTCGAAGGCGTAATAGGTGACAAGTATGTACGTAATAGTGGCAACGAGTAAAACGAAAATTAATACAAATATTACATTCTAAAGTAAAGGCACTACATAAGTAAATTGTCACAAGAAAAAATTATATGATAAACAAAGTTAAATTAATATTAAGCAAGAATATGATCACGAAATTTTGTCTTTAAAATGGATTTAGAACAGTTTATTCTGAAATCATCAGGCAGTTTATTAAAATGTTTTATACAATTAAAAACAGTACCATTCTTCTCAATTTCTTGAAAAAGTGCCCTATTCATAAATTGTAAAGGATTAAATTTGTACATGGCATCGAATTTCAGGATTTTTGACTGTCTATATAATTCATTAGTACGAATCAATAGTACATAGTTAACATATCGAACCCTAAGGATTGACCGCAGTGTCCTGTTCATCAACGTGATAACCGTTTTTTTGTACAGAGAGGCACTTCACCCCATATTACAAGGGTATTAGAAAATTTAGATAAAAACAACGAACAGAAGAGCATTTTTAACAAGGAGAAAGGTAAAATACTTGATAGAGCTTGCAACACTCCATGGGCTTTGCTAAGCCCCTGGCAAACGGAAGTAATATGTTTTTAAAAGACATTTTATTGTCAAGGATCAAGCCTAAATAACGAAAATCGTTAACCTATTCTAAAATTGATTCATTAAAAGTGATGTTCCGAGGGGAGACAACAGGTCAAAGCCTCAGTTTAGTTTCATCGGTGTGTGCCACAACTTATTTACTAACAGCCATTTTGACAGATCCGAAGTCTGCTGACAGATCCGAAATGCTTTTACACGCTTCATGGTAGGCACCTTTCAAAATATAGAAAACGGCATCATCAGCAAAAAGCTTGCAGTTCACATTAAAATAAGAGGCGATATAATTTATGAAAATATTAAAAAGAAGAGGCCCCAGAACAGAGCCCTGGGGTACTCCAATCGTGATTGGTCTTGAGGGCGATTTGAACTCGCTCAATGAAACATATTGTTGTCTATTAATTAGGTATGACTTTATCAATGCATAAAAGGCCCTCCAATGCCATAACTGTAGAGTTTATTCAAGAGAATTTGATGGTTCACGCAATCAAAGGCCTTTTGCAGGTCAAGAAAATAAATAGTTGGCATCCGATGACGATGGTCCATGCTTCCCTGAACAATTTTTCAAGTGGCGACTCTAGCATCGTTGCAGGTATCTCGATGTGTACATTATTGTCTATTTGAAAATTGTCATTTACGACTAAAAGATTATTGCGCTATAGAATAGAATAAAAGTGTCGGCATTGAAGAAATTGGCCCATGGCCTGTTGCCGATTCTTGAACTTTTCGTGACTTGATTCACAAAGGATCCTGCCTTTGGAACTCGATCTTTCCATAACTGAAGATTGATTGAGATAGCTGCTGGACTTATTGCCTGGTCCGTAATTTGCTGGGCATTTTAAGACTGAACATATACTCCTGCATAGCTTCGTCTGGACTTATTGCCTGGTCCGTAATTTGCTGGGCATTTTAAGACTGAACATACTGTATGCTCTTGCATAGCTTCGTCTAGTCTGTTTTTGAAGATGTTCATACTCGGAGTGTCAACGATGCTATCAGAGAGGCTGTTCCACATGTCGGTGACTCGAAGCGAGAAGAAATGTCGCAAAGATATGTTCCAACGCTGTTTTTTTTTAGTTTATAGCCGTGGCCCCTGGTGTTGGTTCTTGTTTCAAATTCTAGTAATCCTTCTGGGACTTTGTATAAGCCATGAGTATACATGTATGCTTCAATGAGGTCCCCACGCAGACGTCAATAACTGAGGCTTGGAAGCTTCATAATCTTTAATCTTTCCTCATAGGACTTGCCTTTCAAGCCCGGAACTATCCCTGTTGCGCGTCTTTGAACGCTCTCTACTAAATTTTTGCCTTTTTCGAATTTCGTTGACCACACGACGTTTCCAAACTCTAGGTTCGGGCGCACGACAGCAACAAACAACTGCTTCATCGCTTCTGCATCTAGGAACTCGAAAGAGCGTCTGATCAGTCCAAGTCGTTTATTGGCTTTATCAACTTGACCTTCAATATGCTTAGAAAATTTCAACTCATTGTCGATATTAACTCCTAAATCCTTTTCCATTGTCGACTTCGACATCATCACTCTGTCGTTGCAACCGTGTCTGCTCATACTGTAATCTTGCTGTTCATTATTCTTTACATTTGTCAGCGTTAAAACGCAGCTGCCACTTATCAGCCCAGTCAACCAGCCTTTCAAGATCACCTTGCAACTGAACTTTTTGCGACGTATTCTTCACTGTACTATAAATTTTGTGTCGTCAGCATACATCGAGTAAGCGCTAGACACAGCTTCTGGCAGATCGCTTATAAACGCAACGAACAGAATAGGCCCGAGAACGCTTCCTTGTGGCACGCCGCTGCGCACTGAAGCCCAGTCTGATACGGACCCATTAATACTGACACGTTGTCGCTTCCCTACTAGAAAATCTCTGATCCATTTGAGTACATTACTCTCAATTCCCAAAGACTTCAATTTACGCAACAGCCGCTCATGTGGGACACTGTCAAATGCCTTGGCAAAATCGAGGTACACTGCATCTACTGGCTCCCTTTCGTCCAGCAGGCGGGTCCATTCGTTCAGAGTCGACAAGAGGTTAGTGGTGCAGGATCTCCCGGCAATAAAGCCATGTTGACAGTCTGATAGGAGATTATTAGCAGTCAAATGATCTATCAATCGATCCCTCACAACAGATTCCATTACCTTGCAAACGACACTTGCCAAACTGACAGGGCGATAGTTGCCCCGGCAGCTTTTGTCACCTTTTTTGAACAATGATGTCACTTGAGCTTCTTTCCTGTCAGCCGGCAACATTCCTTCGTTCAAAGTTTTTCGAAAAAGTTATGTCAGAGGGCCGGCTAGGACAGTTGCTTACTCTTTGAGTAATCTGGGGTAGAAGCCGTCTGGTCCACATGACTTGTTTGGATTAACAGCGATAAGGCGCTTGAGGACCTCTTCTTCTTGTATTTCAAAATTTGTTAATTTAGAGCCGACTGGGCGCTCCTCAATAGCTGGAATACTGTTCAAGTCCTCTTCAGTGAATACGCTACTGAAAAAATGATTAAGTACGTTAGCTTTGCCCTCATCAGAGGATATCTTTCGTTTATCTACTTTCAAATCAGAAATACCGTCCTTCATCTTGCACTTCAAGCTAGCGTGCAAAAAGAAGGCTTTCGGGTCCTTTTTTTGCATTTTTAAGCAATATTTTTTTCAAAGATTTTTACTGCGGTGCGACATGCTTGTTCAGCTTGATTTCGAGCTCTTGCGTATAGGTTATAGTCAGCATCGCTACGAGTCTGTAAATAACGCTGGTATACTTCCTTCTTTGTTTTCAGCTTAGCTAAAACTGCACTGTTCATCCACCGAGTTTTTTTGGCTCCACCAAGCTTAATTTTAGTTACACACGCTTCAACTGCAGACATAACCGTGTCCTTGAGAAGTGACCATGACTCAGCCATTCATGTCCTTAATACAGTTCGATATATTTACTGCATTCACTGCTTCACGGATTTTATCATAGTCGCCTTTCGCAATATTCAAACGCTCACGCTTCGAAGGCGTCTTTTCCGTACAGCACTTAAGTCTGAAAAACAATGATTGGTGATGGTTTTTGCCCAAAGGAGCCTCGTGACGAAGCTCATCTAACATTGATTCATCACTAGTAAACACCAGGTCTAGAATATTGGGAGTCTGTTTACTTCTATAATGGGTTGGTTTGGTAGCGTGCTGGACTAGGAAGGAGTCTCTTACTGACTCCATGAACAAGGATGCTGGGTGATTCTCTTCCCTTGGAGAGGTTCCATCTATCCAGTCTAGCTCTGGATGATTAAAATCACCAACGATCAACGTGTGTTACCTAAGGAAAGTCATGCTCGGTAAAAGACTGTTTAGTTATCGTTATCAGACGAACTGTTTGGTGATCTATACACGACGCCTATGAGGAGGCTATCTTTGCCGTTGAGAGAAAGTTCACACCACACTGATTCTCTAGCTGATTGATGTTCTGCAGATAACTTGACTTGCTGGGCCCCATCAGATGTTCTAACCCACAAAGCTACACCTCTACTGCACTGCTCTTCATTCAAGTTATGAAAACAATCAAAACCTGGCAACTGAAATTCAACAGGTACAATTTTCCTCCCGTGATTTTTAGGGAGTGTTTCTGTAATACAAATAATGTCTGTGCGCTCGTTTTCAATCACAGTTAATAGTTCACTTCTTTTGTTCAAAACGGAATCAGAGTTCGTGTAAGAACATTTTTCAGCTTTTTGTGCACTTTCACTTTGATGTATGAGTTTGTTTCTTACATTATTTACAGGCCTGGTTCTATGGACATGACTTCTTACTTGTCTTCCAGCTCCGCTGACTGATCGTGTGCGGCCGGTGTTGTCTTTACACCGTGAAAGTGGTTGACCTGAGTCTCCATGCTTTTCCGCCTGAGTCTCTCCTGCCATTTCTTGCGAAATTTTCTCTCTCTAAAGGGGTAGCATCCTTCTTAACAAAGAATGAATTAAACTCTGTGCATTCACTTAGTTTTCTCGCAGCCTTAAGCACATGTCCGACCTGGGCCCATACTTTCAAAAAAGTTAAGAGATCGTATGTTCATCAGCCAATCATTGACGGCCTTTCAAGCAAAATTCACCAATCATAAACCAGAAAATAGAGCGTAAGTACTTACGTTAACCTAACGAATTTTGAAAGTATGGCCCCAGGGCTGTATCCTGCACAGTTACAAGCAGCGGTCTTCAGGTGGTAGCGTCTTTCGATCGCAGCCTCTTGCATGCTGTTATATTCATGACGACGTTAAGTGCCTTGGCACAGCAATCAGTAATAAATTCAGCATCCGAAGCATTGCTTTCGGGAACGTTAAACCAAGCAAGGTTAAGTCTTCTTCTTTCTCTATCCAGCAGGGCACGAGTGCTCTCGCTGGCGAGATCAGAGATGACATCTTAGCGGCCTTTACCTTCTGTGTTATCGTTATTTTTTGTTTTGTGCGGATGAGCTTTCATTTCCACCAGCTCGTTTCGTAACGAGTGTAATTCGCTACGCAACAAGCTCAATTCTTTCTTGTGGTTCTCCTCCATTTCGGCTCTCTTTCTCAACTCTTGCTTGTTGGTTTCTTCCATTTCGGCTTTAAAGACAGAAAAAATAGAAGAGCACTTCTCTTCCACCATTTTTCGCTTTTTACAGCGCTAAGTGCAGGTTGTTGGCAGTCCTGGCAGTACCAGTGTACTGACTTGTTTTTGGGAATAACCGAGCAGTCTGTCTTGCTCAACTTTGCACAATTGTTGCAGATGATATCCCCGCAACGATCACAGGCCACTGTAGCGTCATTGACGTTAAGCGATCTCAGTTTGCAAAATTTACAAATCTCTCCTCGCTCATTTTGCGATTTGATCTTCGCATTCGGTTTAACAGGACTGGAGGCCTTCTCAATTAATATTTTTCCTCTCTGACCAGCCATCATGAAATGCAAGAGCTAAAAAAACAAGTTAAAAACTGAATAAAGTTGAGTAAAAGTTGTAAAGTTTCCAAAGTGCTGTAAAAACTCGGTTACAGACTTGAGAATAGGCGGCTTTCAGAAAGTGGCGATGCCAGCGGCTGTAGAGGTGTTCAGGTAGAGGAAGTAAGCTTGGGCATAAAACAAGGACTCTATTTTTCTACGCTGGCGGAGCAGTGCACCTTGCCCTCGCTTGCTTGGCGACCCTCATTATCATGGAGTTCGCATTAACAATTAACATAGACATTGCAGAACGTGACCTGACGATCCTCCTTTGCAGGTGTAGTGGTGGTGGCGTTCGTAGCGTACTTGGCCGTGGCGGTGTACGGCTGCACTACCATCAACGATGGCATGCAGCTGCGCAAGACGGCACGCTACGACTCCTACTCCATTCCATTCTACGACTTTTATGCTAAATACTTCAGCAGCTTCGCCTACCGCCCCATGGTTGGTTTTGATCAGTTGAAAATTTCAAAAATTCGAAATCAAGAAATCATTTTTGAAATTTGGGGGTAATATTTCTGATTACTAATTAAGTTAAAACTAGAGAAAAGGTACCAAATGAAATACCATGAGAAATTAATTTTTGCCTTGTATTAAAATAATTTGCTACACCGAAAAATTAACAGGTTCCCACCAAATTTTCATGTTATTATTCGGTGACTGAGTATTTTTGTTTAAATCGGTTAAATCTAACAGTCGCAACTGAATGCATCAAGACGTAGATGAATTATTTTCAGCGTTATTGAAGATTGATGCTAGGAATGCCGGTCTTGTTTAGATAATGCAATTCAATAATATATATTTTTATTGAATACTTTTCCTATTGCTTACCTAATTTCAACTCATGGTAAAACTCAGATACATGAATATGGTTAAATAAGGTGCAAGATTAATCACCCACGAATTTGACACACACTCTGGTTTAATATTACAACAATATTCCGATCAATCATCTGTAACATTATTTTCAGGTTTAAACCTTACTGTGAAATTAAAAAAATCATTATTGCGCATCAACTAGGTTATATTCGTATGGTATGGCAAAGAATGGCAGGAGCCATTCAGTTTTGCCAAGTTTTCTGTACATTTACCATACAATTTACTAATAATTTCATTTACCATCCACCCATTTCTTCTGATACTTTTCACGTTTTTATACTTTCTATAACTGGCAGATGACCTTCTAAGTAAGGACCGTTTTGGAATTAAAAAGGACGTGCAAAGATATCGCAATAATTTTATTTTTACATGAAAGCCTGTACCTTAATCTACTTTTTTACATGACATCCGTGAACATTGAGGCACTTGTCATAGCGAACCACCAATTTTTGAATACCCTCCTGATAAAATTCTGAAGCCTGAATGTCACCTCCAAGTCAGGCGGCAGAATTTTATCAGGAGGGTATTCAAAAACTAGTGCCACGTTATGACAAGTGCCTCAATAATCATGGAAATTATGTAGAAAAGTAGATTGAGGTACAGGCTTTCATGTAGAAATAATATTATTGCGATATCTTTGCACGTCTTTTTTTAATTCCAAACGGTCCTTACTTAAAAAAACATGCATCGTATAAATCTCTTTCAGTCTGCATGATTATTCTTTGCTAGATCTGGGCACGTTAGTGCACATTGCACTACCAGCGCCACCAGTATCCATTGCTCATGATTTTTAGGAAAATTCCACATCTGGAGCTATTCCTGCTTGGATATATGTAACTCAACAACGTTTTTTGCAGATTGTCTTCACCGGCAACATCACGTACAGCGATCCAGCCAACGTGAGGCAGTTGCTCGAATTCGTTGAAAAAGTGGAATCCCATAAGTTCATCGGCGATGAGTTTTACACGGATTGTTGGTTGAGGCAGTGGACAAAATACATGGCCAGGAATGGCAAGTACCAAGGATTGAATAACAGCGACGAGAAGACCTACATCTATAATCTCCAAGAGGTACTCGTAAAATACGGATATGAAGCCCGCATTATCTAACATACCTATATCAATTAATAAAAGTTATGTTTAAAGCAAATTTATTCAAAATTATAATTGCAAATTTGGGTGCATGCTGAATGATTACGGTCATGGCAGATAAGTAGTAAGAAAGCAATAGTGCGAGCTCTAATATATGATAGGCCATGCTATATCAGCACCCTCTACTTGCTCAGTGCAAGCCTCGTCTTCTTATGTTTAATGACGTCCTTTTTTCCGTTGTTGGCAGTGAGATTGTGCTGGGCTTAGCGAAACGTAAATTAGAGAAGCGCGATTATAGGAGAGACGTTGGTCTTAAATGGCAAATGTATGCCCTACAGCCCGACGCAAAAGGTTAGCCCCACCCCTTTAAAACATCATAACACATCGTGTTTTGCCAGTTTTAACGTGCAAATGGTGGCAAACGAATCGTCTTGGTCTCAGTAATCTATAGCAGGTAAAATTTGGTGAAAAATTTAATTACTGGCGGAAAAATCAAGCGGTCCGTGTTTTTGCACCGACGCAAAAGGTTAGCCCCCCTTTGCAAGTTTGGCGCTCTTGCGGACAGGACGCAGCGTAGACTCGCTGCAAAGGGTGCGTTCATAGCGTAGTAGTTGTGCACGGATCTTATGCTCACCTACGCAAGAAATGGGCGCGATAAAGCCTCTAACTGAGTTTCAGAAAGGTGCCATTCAAGCCCTGATGGCGCTGCCTGAGGGCGAGCGTCCTAGCCTGCGTCAAATGGAAGCACAAGTGGGGTGTAGCCGCAAAGCCATCTCCAACTATCTCAAGGACCCCGTGAACTACGGAAAGCGGCTCACCAAATGCCGCCCCAAGAAGATGTCGGCCCGTGACACGCGTCGCCTCTTCCGAGTTGCGGCGCCCGGCGACTTGAGCGCGCCCAAACTAGTCCAAAAGTTGGAGCTCAATGTCTCCAAGTCTACCGTCTCTCGCGCCCTCGCGTCCTCCGGCATCTTCCAATACGTGAAGATGAACAAGGCCCCCCAATTGACCGATGCTCATAAGCATGCCAGGGTCGCCTGGGGCACAAAGTATGCAAGTACTAGTTAGTGATGACACCTGGGCCAAAACCATCTTCTCTGATGAGAAGAAATGGAATTTGGATGGTCTGAAGTACTACTGGCATTACCACAGGAATGATCCAAAGGCAGCTTTTAGCGCCAAAATGGCGGGGGCAGTGTAATGGTGTGGGAGCCTATTATGCAAACGGGACGAGAGAGCTCGTCTTCCTCAAAGGCAACCAGTTCGCGGACGACTATGTCCAAACGCTCGAGGACCATCTACTTCCCGTCATCCGCCACCAAATTCGCCGCAGCGCCATCTTCCAACAAGATAATGCCTCAATCTATACGGCGCGCACGCCCAAGGCCTTCTTCAAGCGTGCCAAAATCCAGGTTATGGACTGGCCAGCCAAGTCCCCCGATCTGAATCCCATTGAGAACGTCTGGGGGTACATGGCTGGGATCGTCTACGCCTGTGGGAAGCAGTATGACACGAAGGAAGAACTCGAGTTGGCCATTCAAGCCGCCTGGTCCAATCTGGACCCCAACTACCTCCGTAGATTGTCTCAGGGCACGAAAAAGCGGTGCTTAGATGTCTACAAAGCCAACGGGGAGCATATCGGTGCATAATTTTTAGTTTTCCAGCTGACGTTTGTTTTGTTTTGCCTAAAATGTTGAAGTGTACAAAGTGGGGCTAATCTTTTGCTTCGGTGCAAAAACATGTATTTTTCATTTTCTCCGTTACTAATTACATTTTCAAAACAGTCTATTGTATTTTGATTACTGAGACCAAGACGATTCGTTTAGAATATAATAGAATAGAAGTGTCGGCGTTGAAGAAATAGGCCCATGGCCTGTTGCCGATTCTTGAACTTTTCGTGACTTAATTCACAAAGGATCCGGCCTTTGGAACCCGATCTTTCCATAACTGAAGATTGATTAATATAGCTGCTGGACTTATTGCCTGGTCCGTAATTTGCTGGGCATTTTAAGACTGAATTTATGCTCCTGCATAGCTTCGTCTAGTCTGTTTTTGAAGATGTTCATACTCGGAGCGTCAACGATGCTATCAGGGAGGCTCCACATGTCGGTGACTCGAAGCGAGAAGAAATGTTGTCGCATGGATGTGTTCCAACGCTGTTTTTTTTCGTTGCCACCATCTGCACAATAAAACTCACAAAACTCGATGTGATATGATGGGGAAGCCTGCCGAAGACCACCACTGCCCTGGATCCCAAATAAAAATTGAGAGTGGAGCACCTATGTTTTTATGGTGGCTATCGGCGGACCCCATAGGTGGAGCTTATATGATTTAAACAGTGAATTAAGGGTGGCGTGCACCACCTATCCCACACCTATAACCCGCCAATGGCCACCACACCCGTAAAGCTCTTCGTACACCAGTAACTACCCATTGGCACCGGTGGCGCATCAAAGAGCGACCAGTGGCCACCTTTAAAATGAATTCAATAAAAAATTTTCCTTTAGTTTCAAATCCGATGCTTCTGCATTAACTGATATTGCATCACCCAATCACCATTCTAAGTGCTACGTATGCAAATCTACCATGGCAGTACAAGTAACAATGTCAGACAGGTAGCAGGAACATATAATCAGAGTACCATACACATACCTCGTGAGAAATCGACTTGAAGAAGTCTCTGCCTGCAGGATTCGAACTCCGGTCTCCCACACGCGAAGCAGAGCCTCTACCATTGCGCCATCGGAGAGGCCATGGCAGTCGAGTAATTTTAAAAGATTTAACTGAAGTATTGCAAATATTAATTTCATCAAATGAGCAAAGTTAATGCTACCACCGTGATGATTAGATGGCTTCATCACCAATTTTATTTGAACATGCTACTACATTCGAGTAAACACCCGCTGAAAGAAACTTCATTTATCCGTAACGAACGATGGTTCAGCTCAGAGTACAGGCTACGGGAAAATGCTTAATAAGTATCGAAGTTCATAATGTCAACATTACACCAATTTTGACAGCGGCTTTTCGACGCAACGTTCAGTGGTGGACGGCCATTCGACCCTAGGCTATTCGACCTCGTGTCTGGGGGGTGTGGAGCTCAAAATATTCAAAGCAGAAGGATGTCAATGATCGGTTACGGATAGCAGATTCCATTCACGGCTGATTGGTGGATGTCCAGAAAGATCCAAGGCGTTCGATTCAGGGCTTATTGGTGTACAAAATTTGTGGTGCACGGCTGCGTTCCCATATGAAGTTTTAAAGAGGTGGGGACCGGGGCTAACCTTTTGCGTCGGGCTGTAACATAATGGAGCTGCAATTCCCTCTGCCTTCCAGTCTCTGAGTTTTTCAAGTCAAAATGCTTTCAATGGTATTCATTATATTCTTTGCCATGCAGCCCCATATTCACTAGACCTCCCCTTCTCTTAGACTAGAAAAATTCCACGAACATCGGCATTTTGTGCCTTCAGTAAACATCTGGAGGAGTGTCTCCATTAATTTAATTTTTGTATTCAAACGTTCAATTTGACTGAGAGTTTAATGCATAATCAAACTCATTCTATGTTTTGCGAAACGTTGTAGGTACAAGTATGTACGCCTGTATGTAGGCCGTGTTTAATAATTAGTCAGACTCATTTACTTTCTGCCACGCTTCTTAGGTACTTCTATATTACTGCTTTGTTTCATATCAAGCATAAAATTACTCTATCGCGTTAGAGACGTCGAGGTCCTACATACGTAGAACTCGAGGCTATGATTCCAGCCTCCATACAACTGTCTTAAAATTCCTTCTGAGTCAAATTATCAATAGGTTTAAGTCCATAATAATATGCGTTTAAAAATTACTTCTTAAATACAACACTTCTGAACAATCCAGTGTCTTGGATGTTACACATGTACAATGAATTTCTAATTTTATTTTCAAATATTGAAAAAATATTATTTTAAAAAAATTTTTTAAGATATAAAATTCAAAATTATTTATTCTGTCAATTGATTCATGCATTGTCTCTGACTTTATGCAATTGTGCAAAATTTCAGATCAATTGGACAGGTCAAATTGTGTCTTATATGGATTATAAGATTTGTAGCAGACGAAATTATTTTTTAATTTTTTTAATGAAAAAAGTTTTTTTAATTCATAAAATTATTTATTCTGTCAATTGATTCATGCATTGTCTCCATCTTTACGCAAGTATGCCAAAGTTCAGATCGATTGGACAGGTAGAAGTGAGTTAAATATCGATTATAAGATTTGTAGCAGACAGACAGACAGACAGACAAACAAACAAGAAGTAAAGTTAAAGAGAAGTGTTGTAATAAAATAATACTTTATGTTTGGTGTAGCCTTCATTCTATGTTTTCTTCAACAACGTCGAAAGTCCATACACTAATATCTGCCTTCGCAATTTCTGTTGTTCCGCAGTCCTTCTTAAGTGGCGACATCAACCGCTACCGCGCTGACATTGTCTTCAGCGAAGACAACAGTCGCATCGTCGCCTCGCGCTGCCTCGTCCAGTCGGTTAACGTCATGAATGCCATCAACGATCGTCGTCTGATGCAGGATCTTCGTCAGTGGGCGGACGAGTCAAAATTCAACGTCACTGTTTACCATCCTATGTTCATCTATTTTGATCACGTAAGTTGATATAGTTTATGAACTGTTATGAATGTTGAATAATTTCAACTCACACAAAGCTTGTTAGACACATTTTGCTATTCTCATGTCAGATTTCTGACAAAAATTGTGACTTGGTAAAGCATCGGAATATGGTAGGACTAAGTTCACCAAAATGGCATCGGAATCGATCTTCTATTTTAAGTGACAAAATGGACTGCATTACAGCAGGGACTGTGAGTTAAAAGGAACGGAGATCATGAAGAAAAACTCAATCAATCGCCGATATAAAAGTTTATTGACTATTTATAATTGTTTAACTTTCCAAAAAATATGTTATGCGAAAGATATTTTCCAAGTTTCAAATTCGAGATATTTTTGGATAACCTCTTTTCAGCTCACAATCGTCCGCTCTACCATCCTTAAGGCCATCGCGTATGCTGCTTTGACAATGGTTTTGATATGCGTCATCTTCATCCCGAACCCCATCTCCTCCTTGTGTGTCGGGGTAGCCATCGTGTCCATCGAAACAGGAGTCATAGGCTACATGAGTCTCTGGGGAGTAAACTTCGACGTGGTATCGATGATCCAACTGATCATGTGCATAGGCTTCAGTGTTGACTTCACAGCCCACATCAGTTATTCGTATCTTGCTGCTAAAGTTGATACACCTGAGGAGCGAGTCCGGGAATGCATGACGTCATTAGGATTGCCCGTCATGCAAGGCGCGCTCTCGACACTCATCGGAATCCTGCCGTTGATGTTAATCCCATCTTATATGTTCACGACCTTCTTCAAAACGGTCTTCTTAGTTATATTCTTTGGAACGATTCATGGTATTTTTCTCATGCCAGTCTTTCTATCTATGTTCGAAAGCATGTTACGCAATGGAAAAGTAAAAGTTCGCGACGAAGAAGGAAATCCCAACGTGAATGAGTTTCGTGAAATGTCTTCCATTCGCAACAAGCAGCAGAATCAGTCAGCTTTTGGGTAGCTCTCTAGGTCTAGCATAAGAACTTGAGGGTAGGAAATTCCTCCATTTAATATACTAATCCAAAAATTTGATAGATTCATTAATATCCGTGTTAATTCTGAGCCGCGAGACCTCGGACTTTGCCTTATTGCTATGGGACCCACAACCAGGTTTGACCTTACTCCGCAGAAAAATAAAATACCAGTCTGAATTTTTCTATGTTTATTCAGCTATTCATTTGCAACCAATGGCGAGTTACAAAAAAATTCAGCATGCATTAAAACATATACTGAAGTAACTTTGCGCGCATAAATATGCTCAACATATTGCCAAAAAAGTTAAAAGAACCCGAAAACCTTTTTGTACGCTAGCTCTAAGTGCGAGACAAAGGACGGTATTTCTGATTTGAAATTGATCAACGAAAGATATCCTCTGATGAGGGCAAGACTAACGTTCTTAAATCAGTTTTTTGTACCGCATTCACTGACAAGGACTTGAGCGGCATTCCAACTATTGAGAAGCACCCATTCGGCTCTAAATTAACAAGTTTTGAAATACAAGAAAAAGAGGTTCTCAAGCGCCTGGTCGCTCTAAATCCCAACAAGTCATGTGGACCTGACGGCTTCCACCCAAGATTACTCAAAGAGTTAGTAACCGTCATAGCCGGCCATTTGACGGCATTTTTTTCGAATAACTTTGAACGAAGGGATCTTGCCGGCTAACTGGAAAGAAGCTCAAGGACACCAGTGTTCAAAAAAGGTGACAAAAGCTGCCCGGGCGACTGTCGCCCTGAAAATTTAACAAGTGTCGTTATCATGGTAATGGCATCTGTTGTGAGGGATCAATTGGTCGATCATTTGACTGTTAATAATCTCCTATCGGACTGTCAACATGGCTTTATTGCCGGTAGATACTGCAGCACTAACCTCTTGTCTACTTTGAATGAATGGACCAGCTTACTGGAAGAAAGGGAGCCAGTGGATGCAGTGTACCTCGATTTTGCCAAGGCATTTGACGGTGTCCCACATGAGCGGCTGCTGCGTAAAATGAAGTCTTTGGAAATTGAGAGTAATGTACTCAAATGGAACAGAGCTTTTCTAGTAGGGAAACGACAACGTGTCAGTATTAATGTGACCGTATCAGACTGGGCTTCAGTGCGCAGCGGCGTGCTACAAGGAAGCGTTGTCGGGCCTGTTTTATTTGTTGCGTGTTTATCGTTCACGTTTAACAACATCGTGAACAACTCAAATAACAACAAAATTAAACTGACGATCTACTATAGAAACATGAAAATTCGGAATCTTGTCATGAACAATTACCCTTGCAAAAGAGCAGGACCTCTCCAAGAGACCAATGTAGTCTATAAATTTTCTTGCAATGAAGAAGGTTGTAGACTTCTTCCTAATATGGACTACATCGGGCTCACAACCACGACTCTAAGCCGACGTCTCACCTGCCACCTTCAGTCCGGAGGACCAAGGAATTACTTGAAGGAGGCCCAGAACGAGACCATCACTCGCCCGATATTGGAGGAATGCACCAGTATCGTTATGCGATGCCCCGATCCTATACGACTGGCGATAGCTGAGGCCTTCATCATTAAGGAGAGGACTCCAGCTATCAACCTTCAAATCACCGGCTTCGTCAGAACTTTGAGATTGTTTTCCGAGTAGTTTTTGCGCTTGTAAAATCTTCCTGTAGTATCACATTAACGAAATTTTAGCATTATTTGAATGGTATCCAATTTACTTGATTTCGTACATATGTCAACCCAAATTTCGTTACTCAATGCGTCTTTAACTTGAAAATGAATGTTGTACATTCGAAACGTCGTTCAATATTAAAAATGTTTATCGATAATTTAATTTTCAATCTTCCAACACCTACGAAGAATTTAGTACGACTTATTGAAAAAACTAAGCTATATATATAACTACCGCAACAGTTATTAGTTGAAGTTTTTCAATTAGTTAATTAACGTAAAAGAACCTTTCCTGGCTGGACCTAACCTTAGTAAAATTGAAAAAAAAAGTGTCTAAAAAACATTTTTCACACCTCTTACCCTAATTCTAACCTAACGAGATTTTCGTTAATTAGCATGTCGCATAATAGCGTTCATCTTTTTTCGTGTCGCACTATTAGCAAATACTAATCATATGTAGATTATACGACATTTTGTCGCACAATATGCCAAAAATGTCGCGCTATTGTCGAAAGTATGAGTGACGTTTTGATCGAACAATACCGCAACACGGTTTTCGGAAACTCTTAACAAACGTGTCGCACAATAACCCTACTTATCATTAAAAATTCTATATATATGAAATGTGAATTTTATATAAGTTCAACTCGGCCTAGTGCAAAAATATTGCTTGTACAACCGTGATATTTGCTTTTTTGAACGCGCATCGTTTGTAGCTTTCACACGAGTGCAAATACTTTGCAATCTACGCAAATAATGATCTATATATACCATTTTTAAATAAAAATTTGTTAATATAGTTATAAAATGGTCATTTTATAACCATGTAAGTTCTAAACTGCCTTACGCAAAAATTATTGCATGTGCAACCATGGTAGTAGCTTTGTTGAACGTGTCTTGTTTGTAACTTTCAAACGAGTGCAAACACTTTGCAATTAACGAGAGTAATGATCTATATATATTGTACAGATTTAATTTCAACTAATCCTTGTACATATTGTTAACAAATGTTCATTTTATATATTTTTGAAATTGCTTTATGCAACAACTAGAGCACGCACAGACATGCAGCTTACTGCGTTAGACGCGCTTCTTCAGCAGCTAAAAAATGAGCCATGAAAACGGAAAAGTCAAAATTTTCGATTTGTGACCCGAACAGTCCCCTAAAGAAATTAAATTAAAAACGGTGGCTAAATTCAATTTGATATCATAGCATAGTTTAATTGAAGATATATGAGCAAACGCACGATCGTAGTACTTGTAATTGAATAAATTTGAAACTATGGAACACGAACTCCAGAACGATTATTTTATTTAAAGAAGTTATAGTTACAAAATGTGAACTGAATATAAATTTTTGAGCGCGTCTAAAAATAGGTGGGCCAAGATTCTGGATTGCCACTACGAAGCTTGCACCTGTCTGCCACTTTTTTTTCAAGCAAAATTTTTCAATACAGCAAATATTTTTTACTGCAGACCTTAGCAGAAGTACATTTTCAAAGTATCACTTTTCCACATCTTTTTCAGGAATTTTTTAAAGCTAGTAAATCTATGATTTCTTAACTTCCTTTATGCTACATAGATAGGAAAGATGTTGAAGTTTACGTTGCTGTTTTTAGTTTGGCAATATTTCAATTAGTATCGCTGCTATAACATTTGTACGTCGTGGCAGGCAATTCATCCGCCCGTCTCTTATCCGCCGTCTCCAGTACCATTTGGTGGTACACTTAAACTAGAGAAAATACCCTTGAATTGAGCTAATTTTATCATTTCTTATGGCCCTTTTACAATTTCTTCAATTAATAATATGCGTTTAAAAATTACTTTTTAGAGACAACACTTCTAAAGAATTCAGTGTCTGCGATATTACATATGTAAAATGAATTTCTAATTTTATCATCAAATAGTAAAAAAAATTCATTTTTAAATTTTATTTTTAAAATTAAAGAAAATTTTTCACGATTAATTATTCTATCAATTGAATCATGCATTTTCTCTAACTTAACGCAAGTGTGCAAAATTTCAGATCGGTTGGACAGGTAGTAGTGTGTTAAATAGCGATTATAAGATATGTAGCAGACAAAATTAGTTTTTCAAATTTTTTTAATATTAAAAATAAAAAAATGTTAAATTATTTATTCTGTCAATTGATTCATGCATTGCTCCAACTTTATGCAAGTGTGCCAAATTTCAAATCGATTGGACAAGTAGAAGTGTGTTAAATATCGATTATAAGATTTGTAGCAGACAGACAGACAAACAACAAGAAGTGAAGTTAAAGAGAAGTGTTGTAAAAAATAAGAAAGACATTGTAATTTCATCCAAGATTTTTTTCAAAAATCACCTGTGAAACAATCATTTGTACTTGTAGGGTGTGGTCTTACACTTTTAGGAAAATTCTGCCCAATATTCCAGATTGGGCTCCAGCTGGCAGCCTGAATTAAAAGTTTGTATTCTGTGGTCAGACTTACTTCAGATCCTATTTGATTTCGTCTCTCATTGTGAGTTTTCGAAGGTCTCGTATCATTTAGAAAATGTACATTGTTTATAAGCAAGTTTTGCTTTATTTTTACAAATAGAGATGCCGGATTTTGGGAACTTGGGCATGTACCATTAATAAAAATTAGATTTTGTTAGAAATTAGGTATTATTTATATTTACAAGTGATGCATTCAGAATTTTAATACGAAAATTTGTAAAAATTATCCAAAATTTGATAGATAAATAATGTTGATAATTTTCATGTATATATGATGCAAAAATTTTTGTTCAGTTATGAATATCAAAAGCATTATTAACAATTTTTTGCGATTTATTATTTTATATGAACAGCACCTACATGAGCTGGAGCAAACGTGACATAAGTTATTTTTAATTTGAATGCCCAACGTTCGCTGTGGTTACATTAATCAATCATTCACAGAACAATTCCATTGGCATCCAGTGATTACGAATTGAATGAAAATGAATGAATTTGGTATGTCATTTCTGAATCCCTATTATAAATGGGAATAAAAAATGCCCTATTATTTCAAAAACGTTCATAAATCATGAATGAATAGTCATTTACTCAAGATTTAAACCAATATTGTATGTGGGGCAACATGGGACAGCGCCCCCCCCCCTTTTTAAACTAAATTTTTGATGAAGTTTTAATTCATACGAGGTGGTTCTTTGTTTTGTTTAAAGGTATAACTAATGAGGAATGTATGATGTGAATTAGACGCCTATAGAGTTATTCAATTTTTAATGAAACACTATTTTGCAAAAAGTGTCAAAATGGGCCTATCGCCCCACCCCTGGGGCAATGGGCCCATGGACTTGGGGCAAGGCGCTCACCCTTGGTCCCTTTACCACAATTACATATTTTTCGTTTAAAAATGATATAACACTTTACAGTTAAAAAAAAGGAAAATGTAATAAAAAATATGACTTTCATTAATTTATTAACAACTCAAAAAATCACATCCTTAACTTGAAAAAAATATACTCTTGGCTTATAAAATCTATCAATGACGAGTAGAAAAATATTTCATTGACATAAAAATATATATCCTTGACTTGAAAAATATATCCTTGCGATAAAAAATTCGTCCATGACATGAAAAAATGTATCCATGACTAGAAAAATTATATTTAGTTGATCAGAAAAAAAACTTCGTTCCAGTTTCGTCCATA